TGCCATTTACATTAGTGTACAATATTTTGGTCACATTTCTGGGCTTTTCGTACGCAAAGGATTGCAATGTTATTAAAGTATTGAAACGTGTGGACGGATTGGGTGTTATTATACCACAACGTGGTCAGCAATACGCACTCCAGACATTGGACCCGGTTAATTTTCGCAATGATGTCTACCTGGAAAACTACGAAGCTCATATGCGTGGCTGTAGCACAACTGTCCTTGGTCCTGCGATATAAATTTTGTCATATAGTGATGTAATTATTATATGTTATATTTATCTATGGATAATTGTATGAAATAACTTACTTATTAAATAACAGCAATAAAACAGGAAATTAAATTATTAATAATAATTTATTCATAACATTAGATAGAATTAACAACAAACTTTATAAGACTTATATTTATACATTCTATAATACAAATATTTGTATTGTAAATAACTTTTTACAACACTATTACATTACACAAACTATGCAAAAACTGTATGTTGATACTTTCACATTGCACTATTAACTTCAATGTCAAGGTTGTAACAATATTCTCAATAGAAAATTGATGTTATTAAGCATTCTTTACATTAGTAAACTAGTTAAACATGTAATAAAATACAGTCTAACATTGAATACTTGATAACTACATAATACCAACATCTGGGGAGAATTGTCCCCATAATGTTATCAAGCACTACAATAGCACTGATTATCAGTTCATAACTAGACTGACCAGATGAGTTTGTGACAATTCTGGATTTTGGGCAAAAATCACTCCTATTATCCTGGATTCCTGGACATTTTAGTAATTGTAGCTATATTTTCCTGGACGCTTCCATAGACATAATGTTTAAAATATTTTTAAAATTCTGGACAAGCCATCTAATTCCGGGACAATCCAGGCCATTTCTGGACATCTGGTCAGTCTATTCATAACACTTATAATAAATACATGCTTAGAATTGCATTTCACAGCAAATTTGCACTTAAATAGTACTTAAAATATTACATCAGTGCATGATATCAGCAGAGATTAAACCACGTTTGATTTGTGTATGTAAAGGAAGTGCAAGTTAAGTGAAAAATTATTTAACATTTATCAAATACTATAAAACAGTGTATAAACTCTGTATTATTTAATTAACTCTACAAAAATCGAAGTAATGACATTTGTTGGAAAGGTATGTAAAATTAAAAATAATTTAATCTAACTAGTACAATATAATAAATCATTATAATTAACAGCCCATCACATGCAAAGCGGCTCTATTGCGAAAAGAGGGCCACCCGTTAACGATAGAGACGATTACAGTAGACCCGCCCCAGGGGTCAGAGGTTAGGGTACGTATGGTATCGGCGGGTGTTTGCGCCACCGATGGGCACCCGGTGTGGGGCCGCGAGACCGACGTACAGCTCGACACCGGGGGTCGGCCTATGGTGTTGGGTCACGAGGGGGCGGGTGTGGTCGAGTCGACGGGTCCGGAGGTTACTAGTGTACGACCCGGCGATAAAGTGGTGATCATGTGGATGCCTGAGTGCGGTCGGTGCGCCCTATGCGCCAATCCGCGCACCAATCACTGCCTGTCCGGCAATATTGTGACCAACATGTATCACGAGGGCGGCCAGTGTCGCACCCGTGTCGATGGCCAACCGGTGCTTATGTTTTGTAAGTGTAATTTTTTTAACTAGTTATATTATAATTAACATTTATTAATTCAGATAAAATAATTTTTATTATGGCACTATTTTTAATTTCAGTTGGCACAGGCACTTTTGCACAGTACACTGTGGTGCGCGAGGCTCAAGTGGCCAAGGTAATCTACATCTAGATGATTATAATTTATAAAGTTTATTTAACTTAATGATCTTGCATAATTAAACGAGTTAGGTTAATCCCAAGGCCAATCTAAACGACATATGCATAATAGGCTGCGCTGTGGGCACGGGCTATGCCGGGGCCACAAACATAGCTAAAGTCCAGAGGGGTTCAAAGTGTGTGGTCTGGGGTTTGGGTGCTATCGGACTGTCGACTGTGTTGGGCTGTAGGGATGCCGGCGCCGCAGAAATCATCGGGATCGATCGTAACGATTACAAAGGTGAAATAGCTAAACAGTTGGGCTGTACCCAATTTATTAATCCAAAAACAACTGGTATGTTTTGTGTGTCGCATATAATTAGGTACATGTTGCATAATCTTATTAATTAATTATTATTATAGATAAACAAATTGACGACATATTAAAGAGTGAGGGCGGAGTGGACTACGCTTTCGATTGTATTGGTAGTGTCGATGTTATCGATAGTTGCCTAAAGTCCCTAAATCCATGGGGATTTCTAACCTTGATAGGTTACTAATTAATTAAATATGCACATGGAAAGCAAATAAAATCTATATCAATTTTAATTTTAGGTCTACCACCAAGAGGAAAGACAGTGAATATACCCAGCAGTCGATTACTCGCTGGAGCGCACGTGTCGGGCGGATATTATGGTAACGCTAAGCCCCGGGCACTAAACCAACACTTGGTTGACCTGCACTGTACCGATCGGTTGCCCATTGAACACATGATAACTCAGCGTTTAAATCTAGATGATATAAATAAGGCTTTTGATGATCTAAAAGCAGGTAAAGCTATTCGTACAGTTATCATGTTTGATTAATTATTTCATGTTTTGTTAATTTTACATTGAAATTGTTGCAATGATTATTTAATAAGAATAATTTTAATATGTAATTATATTTTTAATTATCTGTTTTTCTTTATTCTTAAAATATTATACAAATTTTTAAAAAATAAATTTAAATTATTTGAACTTAATATAGATATCTAAAAATATAGTACTTTTAAAAACATTATAGCTAGAAATGAGATAATCTGTAAGAAATAAACAATTAATAAAAATGTTAACAATTCATTATATAAATATATTGTATACCTCATAACACCTAAAGGTATTAATTGTATATAATTTCCAACACAAAAATCCAACACTTTTTGTGGCCATTCTTTCTATAAATGATATTAACTGAGAGAGAGAGAGAGAGAGAGAGAGAG